AAAAAAAAAAAAAAAGAAGACATACAGATGGTAAATAAGCACAGGAAGACATACTCAATGTCATAAGTCATTAGGGAACTGCAATTTTTTCTTTTTTTTTGAGACAGAGTCTTGCTCTATTACTCAGGCTGGAGTACAGTGGCACAATCTTGGCTCACTCCAACCTCCACCTCCCAGGTTCAAGCGATTCCCCCACCTCAGCCTTCTGAGTAACTGGGACTCCAGGTGTGGCCACCTGCCTGGCTAATTTTTGTATTTTTAGTAGAGTCAGGGTTTTGCCATGTTGCCCGGGCTGACCTTAAACTCCTAACCTCATGTGATCTGCCCACCTCAGCCTCCTAAAATGCTGGGATTACAGGCGTGAGCCACCACACCTGGCCTCCCACCCACCCCTTTGCATCCACAGAGTTCTCAATCCTTGGCATGGCAGAAGCACCAGCCTCATCCCTTCCTGATCAACGGTGTGCCCTGGGATCCCTGGCCTCAGGCTGGACAACCAGGTGCCCACATCCTGGATGGGTATTTACTCATCGAACATCTAGCCCGTGGGGTTGTCCAGGGAAATACATTGGGTGGCAGCAGATATCTGAGGAGCTTTTTTTTTTTTTTTTTTGGTGGGGGGGACAGAGTTTTGCTCTGTCACCCAGGCTGGAGTGCAATGGCATGATCTCGGCTCACTGCATCCTCCACCTCCCAGGTTCAAGCGATTCTCCTGCCTCAGCCTCCCAAGTAGCTGGGATGACAGGTGCCCACCACCACACCCAGCTAATTTTTTTATATTTTTAGTAGAGATGGGATTTTGCCATTTTGGCCAGGCTGATCTCAAACTTCTGACCTCAGGTGATCCTCCCACCTCAGCCTCCCAAAGTGCTGGGATTATAGGCATAAGCCACTGTGCCCAGGTGAGGAGCTTTTTTTTTGAGAAGGAGTTTCGCTTTTGTTGCCCAGGCTGGAGCGCAATGGCATGATCTCGGCTCACTACAACTTCCACCTCCCGGGTTCAAGCAATTCTCCTGCCTCAGCCTCCCAAGTATCTGGGCTGGTCTGGAACTCCTGACCTCAGGTGATCTGCCCACCTCAGCCTCCCAAAGCACTGGGATTATAGGCGTGAGCCACTGCACCTGGCCAAAGCTCTGAAAATCTTTAACAATGTGTATAAATGAGCAGAATGAAGACAATTCCAGAAATAGATGGTTTAATCTCAAAAGCAAAAAGAATTAAATGGAACTAGTCAGCTTAGTTAACTGGAAAGTCATTTTCTTTTTAAGTTGTAAAACTGGAGGCACTGTGGTTTGCAAGTAAGGGGTTTTTTAGCCAGTTTGATAACCTGCATACAAGCGGTTGAAGGATGCCTCTCCACTCTAGGGAAATTCTAAGAAAAGACTGGATCACCTAGAGGATAATCAAGTGAAAGCCTGTGAAAACAAGAAGCATGGCTCTTCTTTGCCCCTCATAACACATGACTAACATTCACAACACTCCCATGGGTGTGTCCAGATCTGGAGGTTGCTCACTATGGGTGAGGGCAGTGTTTTTCAACTTTTTGAGCCCATACCCTTTTGATAAACAAAACAAAACAAATTCATGCGTCCTTCGTTAAACATTATCTTTCCTTTCTTCTTTTTATTCTTTCTTCCTTCCATTTATCCATCCATTCAAAAACTGTTAATTAAGTACCTACTGTGGCAGGTTTATTAAATACGGCAGAAAGTAAGACATCTCTAAATGAGGCTGCTTGAAAGTAACAGTAATTAAGAAGGATTGTCTGCTCTTTGGAGTTCTACATAACAGCTAGAAATAATGGGAATTTTCCCAAGCAGATCTATAGAGCATCCAAATTGGGCTCGGTGAAGAGAAAGGACAGCATTCTAGCACAGGAACTGAGTCAACCAATTCGCCTCACCAGCATGCAACAGATTTCAGCGGTTTTCCCTCTCCCCTTCCTCCATTCTGCAATAGACCTCTAGCTTGCTTACCAGTACTTCTACCCCAGCCCCTAAGCATTTGCAATGATTCTAATATGTAAGTGAACAGCACCTAAAACACAGTCCATGTTCATAGCAACCTTTTTGCCAAAGAGTCTGAGCAATGACCTTTGATCAAAAACATGACCTAAGCAGTGTAGAGTAACACCAAGCTAAAGACTCCTTCCCGCTTAGAGAAGAGACGCACCTTTTCTCGCCCAATAACGGGCCCCCGCCCCAATAGAATCTAGATTTAAAGATTTGGAGCCCAGTTTTTAACCAGAGGCTCTGCGGCCACCCTGGAACAACATGGTTTTAGTTTTTCCTAAAGAAGGTCTAGAATGGTCTGCTCAGCTTCGTGCTTTAGAGACCAATGGACAATGCAACATCATGCAGAAACTGCTTCTTGAGGGGACAGGGAGGAGTAACCAATGTATAATATTTTCAGTGGTGACTAACTCTGAAATTTAGAAAATGAGCCTGGAATTATAGTTATCTTGTCAGCAGTCTTTTTTTAAAAAAATTTTTGTTTGTTTGTTTGTTTTGAGACGGAGTCTCGCTCTGTTGCCAGGCTGGAGAGCAGTGGGGCGGTCTCAGCTCACTGCAACCTCCGCCTCCTGGGTTCAAGCAATTCTCCTGCCTCAGCTTCCCAAGTAGCTGGGATTATAGGCATGCACACCATGCCCAACTAATTTTTGTATTTTTAGTAGAGATGGGGTTTCACTATGTTTGCCAGGCTGGTCTTGAACTCCTGACCTCATGATCTGCCCACCTTAGCCTCCCAGGGTGCTGGGATTACAGGCATGAGCCACCGCGCCTGGCCTTTTTATTTTTTATTTTTTGTCAGCAGTCTTAAATACACGCTTTTTCCAAATTAACTCCTCTTCCCAGACACGATGTTCTAATAATCACTTTGATTATATAAATTAGAAAGAAATAAAAAAGGTTCAGATGATGTTAGATTCTTTTTTCATTAGCCAAAACAATGAATCCTAATAAGGGATAGGAAAAAACAGTATATTGTTGGCCTGACAACAATTAACTGAAAACACAATTCAGAACCATGACTTTTTTTTTTTAATACAAAGAAAGAAAATTCAGCATTACTATAGAAGCCATTTACAAATCCATGATTCAAACAGAAAAAAAGTAGCAGATTTAGGCCAAAGATAAAGGGGGTGACGTGCTTATATTCACTTAACTAACTGCAAAGTCAGAGGAATGCCGGATGTAATCAGTGAGTCAGGATGGCTCACAGAAAGGCAGGGGCCTGCAAGGTATAACCTTGACATCAGTCAGGTGAGTCTGTCTTAGAATACAACTAACATGCACAGCCAGCCCTCCAACAATGGGCTTCTAGAAAGGGAAATGGAGATTTCTGTGATCTATCTTCCATTTGGGATGTGGTTTGAAATAAGTGTGAAGTAAAGACAAGCCAAAAAAAAGACTATTCAAATTAATATTCAACCAGAAAAACAAAAATCAATTTGGCCAACTAAATCCAATAAGAATACAACTTAAGAAAAATGATTCCAGCCAGGCACAGTGGCTCACGCCTGTAATCCTAACACTTTGGGAGGCCGAGGCGGGTGGATCACCTGAGGTCAGGGGTTTGAGACCAGCCTGGCCGCCATGGCAAAACCCTGTCTCTACTATAAATACAAAAATTAGCCAGGTGTGGTGGCGCATGCCTGTAATCCCAGCTACTTGGGAGGCTGAGGCAGGAGAATTGCTTGAACCCAGAGGCGGAGGCTGCAGTGAGCCGAGATTGTGCCATTGCACTCCAGCCTGGGTGACAGAGTAAGACTCTGTCTCAAAAAAAAAGAAAAATGATTCCATCAGTGAAATTTTCCTTTCCTAACAGCAAGGGTATACTATGGTGCTAGAAACTGAACCAAAAGCTTTTTTTTTCAAACAATGTGGAAAATATATATTAGAAGTGCTAAGTAAATCTACCAAGAAATGGGCTTCACACTAATAACAGGCCCAGATAAAATTCCTTTTCCTTTTTGACAGGCTAGTGAAAGGCATATTCTAATACATCAAGAATCAGAATCAGATTTGAATCCTCAAGCTCAAAAATCCATTCCCAGAGGGTATCCTACTCATTGCTAAGGGTTTTGAGCAGATTGGCTTCAGGGTGGATTTCGTAAGACTCACACTAAGCCTATTCTGCTTTCCTGCAGACTCCTCACCTAATTTGGTATGTAATCAGCCAGTCACACACACATGCATGGTCTAGCCCTTGCCTATCTTTTGTCCTTGCTGGCATGCTCTTCCCCTTGGTCTCTACAATTCACCAACACCAGCCTTCTATCAGTGTCTCAAGTATACCAAGCTCTTTGCTGCTTCTAAGCCTTTGTACGTGATGTTTTCCTTACTTGGAAGAGTTTCCTTCAAATCTTAGCTTACGCTTACACTTCCTCAGTAGAAATATTCCCAGCCTAGGTTAGATGTTATGTGCTCTTGGTACCCACCACTTCTCTTTTGAGGCCCTTCATTCAATTCTAAGTACATTTCTGAACGGCCATTTAGTGTCTGACTTCCTTACTGGACTGCAAGTTTCATGAGGGTCTGCCCTGTCCCCTGCTGTATTCCCAGTACCCTAGCTTAGTATGTGTGGCACATGAGTATGCAATATGTAGTTTTTTTTTGTTTGTTTTGTTTTGTTTTAATTTTCTTTTGAGATGGAGTTTCGCTCGTCACCCAGGCTGGAGTGCAATGGCACGATCTCAGCTCACTGCAACCTCCAGCTACCGGGTTCAAGCAATTTTCCTGCCTCAGCCTCCCAAGTAGCTGGGATTATAGGCGCCCACCACCACATCCAGCTACTTTTTTTTGTATTTTTACTAGAGACGGGGTTTCACCATGTTGGCCCGGTTAGTCTCAAACTCCTGACCTCAGGTGATCCACCCACCTCGGCCTCCCAAAGTGCTGGGATTACAGGCTCAGTGAGTCACTGCACCCAGCCAATATGTAATGTTTAAAAAAAAAAACTTTAAAAATTATAAATTAGGTATGTAAAGGACATACACACTTAAAAGTGGCGAGAAGCAAAGCTTTAACATGCTGCCTGATGTGGGATGAAGAATGAATCCTGTGCTAAAATGAAGCATTCAAAATAGATGGATCTTATGCAACCAGCAGGTTATTAAGGACTTTCCCCAACAACAGTAGCAGAAACAAGGGCTGGGCTTTGGAGAGTGAAGGCCAGAAAATCTAGTATTCACCTCAGATGCAAAATACCAGGCTAGATATTCCCAGATTCAGATTGCAACAGGTAGAGAGGACCCTTCCCTTCTGATAGTGAAGTCTATTCAGGTGACAGAGTGGAAACGGTGCAACTTTCTTGTTCTCCACTTTGGAGAGAACTCTCATTAACAAACTAACTTCTTTATTCTGGTTCTCCTATGTACAATATCCATTCTTATTTCTCACAAGGGTATGGAAGGAAAACAACTGGTATTTTGCTTCTCCCTTCCCTCCATTCAAGCTTGGCTCATGTCTACAACTCACCTGAACAGCTCCTCCCAGCATGACAGCCACCAGCCCCATAGACATGCTCAGCGTCTGTGATTCCACGGTGCTCTCTGCCCGATGGGCCAAGCTTGCACAGGCTCTCTGCAATGTTGCTGCTACAAAGTCCACCACCTACCAAAAAAAGGGAATTGAGAATCAATGAGGAATAATAATTTAAAAAATCAAAATTCTCTTTACATCTTATGCCTACATCCTCATCTTCTTTATCTACATCATGATAGCAAGAATCATCCAGAATAATTGCTACTTACCATGCAGGTATGAAGTTGAGTGTTTTGCTTTTTTTTTTTTTTAATAGCATTTACTGGTTTATTATAAAGGTTATTACAAAGGACGCTGATGAACAGACAGATGGATAGGAAAAGCGGGTGGGGGTGGAGCTTCCATGCCCTCTCTGGGTTAGCCCCATTCCCAGCATCTCCACATGTTCAGCAAGCGGCAAGCTCCCAAGTGTTTCACGTGTACAATCTCACTTAGTTCTCATCTCAACTCTAGGAGGTCAGTACTATCATCCTCATTATGAAATGAAGAATCTGAGACTTTAAAAGGTTGTTTGTTTAAGGCCATACATTTAATAGATGAGAAAGCCTATTTATACTTTTCCAAATGTTTTAATATGCTACTCCAACTTCCTTTACTTTGCATGAATTTTGCCTGAAAATTAAAAAGCAAAATGACTTGTAAATGAACTCAAAATGGATCATGGACTGCAATGCAAAATACAAAACTATAAACTCCTAGCAGCTACCATGGAAAATCTAGATGGTCGCGGGTATGGTGAGGACTTTTCAGATGCAACACCAAAGGCACAATCCGTGAAAGAAAGTAATGATAAGCTGGACTTCACTGAAGTTAAAAATTCCTGCTCTGCGAAAGACACTGTCAAGACAATACAAAGAGAAGCCACAGACTGGGAGAAAATATTCATCCAAAACAGTCTGACAAGGGACTGTTTTCCAAAATTTACAGAGAACTCTTAAAGCTCAATAATAAGAAAACCTGGGTTGGGCACGGTGGCTCACGCCTGTAATCCCAGCACTTTGGGAGGCCGAGGTGGGTAGATCACTTGAGGTTAGGAGTCCAGACCAGCCTGACCAAAAGGTGAATCCTGTCTCTACCAAAAAATTACAAAAAATTATCCGGGCATGGTGGCACACCTGTAGTCTCAGCTACTCGGGAGGCTGAGGTGGAAGAATCGCTTGAACCAGGAGGCGGAGGTTGCAGTGAGTTGAGACAGCACCACTACACTCCAGCCTGGGCAACACAGTGAGACCTTGTCTCAAAAAAAAAAAAAAAAAAAATTAGCCATGCATAGTGGCAAGTGCCTATAGTCCCAGCTACTCAGGAGACTGAGGTGGGAGGATTGCTTGAGCCCAGGAGGTCAAGGCTGCAGTAAGCCATGATGGTGTCACTGCACTCTAGCCTGTGTAACAGAAAGAGATCCTATCTTGAAAAGAAAAGAGCCCAATTAAAAAAGAGCAAAAGTCCTACACCGATATCTCACCAAAGAAAATATACAGATGGCAAAAAAGCATATGAAAAGATGCTCCACATCCTATGGCATTGGAGAATTGGAAATGAAAGCATTGTTGATATACTTTTACACACCTAATAGAATGGCCAAAATCCAGAGAACTGATTTCACCAGGAATGTTGGTGACGATGGAGATCAACGGGAGCTCTCATTCATTCATTGCTGCTGGGAATGTAAAATGGTACAGCCACTTTGGCAGACCGTTTGGCACTTTCTTACAAAACTAAACATACTCTCACCATACAATCTAGCCATTGCTTGCCTTGATATTTACTCAAATGAGTTGAAAACCTATGTCCATACAAAACCTGCACATGGTTGTTTATAGCAGCTCTAGTCATAATTGCTAAAACCTGAAGAAACCAAGATGTCCTTCAGTAGGTGAATGCATCAGTAAACTGTGGTACATCCAAACAATGGAAAAATAGCACCAAAAAATGGGCAATCAAGCTATGAAAAGACACGGAGGAACCTCGAATGCATATTACTAAGGGAAAGAAGCCAAGCTGAAAAGGCTACAGGCTGTATGATTTCAACTATATTACATTTTGGAAAAGGCAAAACTATGGGGACAGTAAAAAGATCAAGGGTTGCCAGGGGTTAGGAGAGAGGGAGAACAGAACAGGTGGAGCACAGAGGAATTTTACGGTGGTGAAACTATTCTGTATGATACCATCATGGTGGATACATGGCATTACAAATTTGTCCAAATCCATAGTTTGTACAACGCCAAGAGCGAGCCCTAATGTAAACTATGGACTTTGGGTGGTGATGTGTCAATGTAGACTGATCAGCTGTAAAAAATGCATCACTCTGGTGGGACATGTTGACAATGGGGGAGGCTATGTTGTGTGAGTGCAGGGAGTGTAAGGGAAATCTCTGTCTCTTCTGTTCAATTTTGTTGTGAATCTAAAACTGCTCTAAAAAATAAACTCTCCTTATAAAAAATGACCTGTTACTTTCTGACTATGTCAGGGGGTCCTGGATCTGCTTCTCAAAAGGAGGTTTCCTCCTCAGGGATTCCTGCCCTGACTCACTCCTGACATTTTGACAGTCTAATTCTAGTAAGTAAAGAATGGAGGGGTAGTGTTCAGTTTCATCTAGAAGTCAGTGTCTTAGAACCATTTGTGCAAATGATTGACAGCAGTGATCCCCAAACTTTTTGGCACCAGGGACCGGTTTCATGGAAGACAATTTTCCCGCACACCAAGGTTGGCAGAAGCGGGAGGGGGAGAGGGGTGAGGAATGGTTTCAGGATGAAACTATTCCACTTCAGATCATCAGGTGTTAGTTAGATTCTCATAAGGACTGTGCAACCTAGATCTCTTGCATGCACATTTCACAACAGGGTTCGCGCTCCTATGAGAATCTAATGCTGCTGCTCATCTGACAGGAGGCTGTGCTCAGGTGGTAAAGCTCACTTGTGCGCTGCTCACCTCCGGGTATGAGGCCGGGTTCCTAACAGGCCACAGAACAGTACTAGCCTGTGGCCTGGGGGTTGGAGACCCCTGATCTACAGTCTTTTTTTAAGTATTAAATAGTTGAAAGGATTAAGATTATTCCTAGACAAGACTTTATATAGCATTTGGCTAACAACTAAGCTTTAAATAGAATTAATTTGGTCAGCATCATTTTCAATGCATTTGGATTAATCACCTTAAGTAAAAACACCTTTGAATAAATGACAGCACACAAAGGCACATGCGTGCACATACACATGCATACTTACGATTAATGACTCAAAAGAGAGAAATCATTTTAGAAATGGAAAGGCTGAGAAGGTCATAATAAGCCTCCAAATAACATGCAAGCTTGCATGTTTAATTCTCTGGACAAATCACATGCTGTGCTAGAATCTTTATTGCAAGCTTAACGTCAGGAGAATGGCTTGTTAACACTTGTCTTCTGAAGCAATGCAGGAAACTAGAAAGGTTATTAAAAGTTCCACTTACTGAAATGAACAATGCTGTTTATGGCAGTTTTCACCACCTCCTTCATCCCTACGATTTTATTCATACTAGAAGATAAGGACACTGGCCCTTTCTAGAAACACTAGGTAGAAACTGTTTCTACTATCTTGGGCCAACTATTTTGCCTCCAGGGAGTTTTCTAAAGCACTCCTTAGCTGGGCACAGTGGCTAATGCCTGTAACCTAATACTTTGGGAGGCCAAGGCAGGAGATCACTTTAGGCCAGGAGTTCAAGACCAGCCTGGCAATAAAGTGAGACCCTATCTCTACAGAAAATTTAAAAATTAGCCAGGCACAGTGGCACACACCTGTAGTCCTGGCTACCCAGGAAGCTGAGGTAGGAGGATTGCATGAACCAAGGAGTTCAAGGTTGCAGTGAGCCGTGATTGCACCACTGCACTCCCACCTGGGTGACAAAGAGTGAGACCCTGTCTCTAACAACAATAACAAAAAATAAATAAAGCATTTCTAAATTACTCAACTAGGAT